GGGGGACAGTTGAACCCGGAGGCCTCCACCCCTGTTTAACGATGGACAATTTCTTTTCACAAAGATGGACTCCTTTACTCCTCTCTCAAACCGAGAGAGGACCGACAGAGAGGAACGATGGTTTGAGAGAGGAGTAAAGGAGGCCATCTTTGTGAAAAGAAATCGTCCATCGTTAAACAGGGGTGGAGGCCTCCGGGTTCAACTGTCCCCCTCTTACAATGCTGTGATTGCTAGTATCACTCAGCCCTCTGTGAACAGTAAACAGCCATCAATGTGCTAATGATCCATTGTTAGGCTTATGGTCCTTTTTGAGCATGTGATCAGCTGGTTTTGGTTGTCAGCAGCAAACTGGTTGATCCACTCTGAGAAGGTGCTATTTAAGAGACTGAGATGAAAACAGCACCTCAAACTGAGGAAGTCTCTTGGATGAGAGACGAAACGTTTCTATATTTTTTTGCTTTGTTTTGTTTTTTGGTTTTTTTGAATGTCCAGAGGACCAGATTGAACTTTTTTGGAATACTTAATATAGTGCCATAGATGGTGGAAGTTCATTTTGAAAGATGATCTATTGGAATTCCTTGATTATTCAAAATGAGATCCCTGACTGTTTTATTCTGCATATAAAACACTGACTACTCATAAATACTCCACATAACCCATCTTCAAACAATCCATACTACCCCATTATAGAAGCTGTAGGTGATTATTAAATATGTATGTAATGGGTTAAATGTAACAAGTTAAGACAGTGAATCATGCAGCACACACAACATCAGACACAGATTTTACCCAGAGCAGTTAGCTTGCAGTCAGGGTTAGTAAGCTCCAGGTGTCCCTGGGTGCTGGTTGTGGTTGGAAGGGCATCATGTGGTAGCTGGTAAGTAATCAGTGCAGAAGCAAATAAAGCAGCACTGACAGAACCTCCATGATTACCACCAAAGTGGAACTGCTCTTCCTCTGCCCTACTCTTGTCCTCATCCTCACCCTTTTCACCAACATCATCTTCCTCGTGACTTCTGATCCTCTCCAAAACATCTGTGGATGCAAAGTTAAAGAGAGGGAATGATGGACAGAAGGGAATAAAAAAGAGGATGTTAAAAAGTGAAGGAGAATGATGAATGAAAGATAAGAGGGAGAATGCATTGACAGAAGGTAGAAGGACAAATTTTAGGAGGAAGTAAATAGAGAGGTGTTGGGACAGGTTTAGAATAAGGAAGGAACAAAAAATACAATGTAGGTTAGTTTGTATTAACAGCAGTCTAAAGAGCATCTGAAAGTATTATCCCTTTCATAAACAAAGCAAAACTCCCACCCTCTCCGTCCACATCCCCTTTGATTCACCAGTAAACATGACAATAAAGGGTACGAAAGAGTAAACATACAAAAAGACAAATATTACTAAATTAAAGCTGGTGACCTGTTCTTTCACAATAATCCCTTAAATTTACTACATTCATGGAGATTTAACACAATTACTGTAAATTTTAATTAAAAAAAATGAGTTTTTATATTTTCCCCAAAGTTTTTTTTTTCCATTAATGCAACCTTTATTTATACAGGTAGTCTCCTTGAGCTAAGATGACTCATTTACAAGAGAGACCTGTTTTAAACAAAGAACACAGATGAAGTACAGACAATCATAGACACTCATAAAAAAGTACATAAAATGAAATGGAAACGGACCCAATTTTAATTTAGTAATATTTGTCTTATATAGTTAAATATGTATGTAATGGGTTAAATGTAACAAGTTAAGACAGTGAA